GAGCGCGGGTTCGGTGGGCCGCCGGCTCCGCATCCCGCTTCCGCCCCGAGGTCCCTTAATGGCGAAAGTGCTCCCGTGTGGGCGCTCTTGGCCGAAGGAGCGCAGGTTGGTAATTCCCAGTCACAGCCGCTCCCACCGTACTAATGACATCAGTTTGCTCTTTTGCAGATACTCGGGAAAAGCGTGTCGGCTGAAGAATCCCAGCAGCCCCGACCGCACTTAGGGGTCTCCCGACACTGGGGGATGGCATGGACAAGCAGCGGCAATGCAGCGGCGGCCGGGGGTAGGGGGTACCCAGCTCCTACACCACGAGGGAAGTTGGCAGGCAGTGCTGGGAAGCTGGGCTGGATTCTTGGCTAGGGGCATGAAGAGTTAACAGGCCTTGACCGATTTCAGCATCCTTCCCCTGCCTCCCCAGCCCTCTATCCAAAACAGACCACAGAACCAAAACCCATATTTGCATCACGAATTTTATTCCCGATGCGGGACAGATTCCTTCCATCCTCACAATGAATCACAGGCTGCCCTGGAAAGACCAAGGAACCTCCTGTCTCCAGGGAAGGTGCTTTGGGAGAGGCAGGTGCTGGGGACTGGGAAAGGCTTTGCAGTTCCCCATCCTAATTACTCCCTTCTCAACAGAGGATAGTGCTGCGGACTAGTATTTCCATTGTCCCTTAAAAAAAAATCCCGAAACCACCCCTATTAAAAACAAACAAAAACTCAAGTATGAAGGGGATGTCCTGGGCTGGAACATGAGGTTGTAAGTCACCGATGGAGGATGGCAGGGAAGGGAGAGGAGCCATCACTGTTTCTGCTGCAGGGCTTCCTTCCTTGCTGCATCCTGTAGCAACTGTGTGTCCACCTCATCTGCTGGCAGCTGCACATAGCGGACCACGGAGCCCCGGATGAAGCAGTTCTTCACCGATAACTAGACAGAGAGACACACGAAGATACCCTTGAATGTCCTCTAACCACTCAGGGGCCTCCTGCTTTGGAGATGTTTCCTCTTCTCCACTGACCCAACTCACCATGTGAGGGTATTTCTCAGGATCCGTAACACTGATGTCAGTCAGTTTGATGTTGAGATACTAACAAGAGATGAACACCGTCAGTAACCCTGGAGACAAGACCCAGGTACCCATCCTTCAGTTCTCCCCTCCTGTTCCCCAAGAACCGATTCTGGGCCCTGGCTGTAACTCACCTGGTCCACAGAATGAAGGGTTCCACAGATGCTGTTAACGGTAGAGAGAAAGAAGAACCAATTTAGTTTATACCAAAGTCAAGGAAGAGGTGATGTCAGAGCTGGGACAGGAACATGGACCGGGGAAGTCAAGGGCTTGAGAAAGCCAGAGAAGGTGAATCCGAAGGGTGTGTTCCTAAGCCCTAGAGAAAAGACCTAGCTGCTCAAGTGGTTTCTGAGGCCCTACTTCCTTTCTCCCTAAACTAACCCACTCTCTCTCCATTTCCTATAAGGCTAGTGCATTCACCAGAGACAGAGGAAAAGTGAGAAATCACCCCCCGGGGGGATGTCCTCGCCACAATCTCTTCTCCACTCTCCTCTGAGGATTTTAGGCCGCAAGGACAAGTGCCTGGCATGTTTTTCAAGCAGCTGAGTCGTCTCAAACCGTAGTTGGCCATGTGGAAGCCGGCTGCTCTCCCCTGCCACTGGCTGGCCCCTCACTCGCTTTTTAGCTACCATTAAAAACTGTTGGGAACCAGTAGTTAGTGTAATGGCTATGTCGCTGGACTCCCAAGTAGTCGACCGCGGTTCACGTCCCGGACCCAGGGGCTTAAACTCACGCCGGGCACGTGTGTGTGCGTGCCCAAGATCCCGAGAGGAGAACGGAGGAGAAGGGATTGCAGTGTGGCCACCCCCCCTGGGGGGTGATTTCTCGCTTTCTGTCTCTCTGTCTCTGTCTGGCGAGTGTACGCGCCCTATAGCAAAAACCTCTCCAAAACAAAAACAAAAACATGTACCAGACCTGTATTCTGCACAGCAGTTGGAATCTTTACAGCTGTTACCATCCAGGGGCTGAAAGGTGGTGACTTGCCTCAGTTTCCAACAGATAAACAGGCGTGTCGATCCAGGGCTGTCTGACTCACAGACCCAGCAGCTACTTTCAAACATCCGCTGCTTTGGAACAGAGCCCCACGTGTACGTTAAGGCAGCCAGCACTGGTCTTGCCATGTGGGCACAAGGGGTGTCCTCTCTTCCCCAATCCACAAGTGCCCTGAGTGGGCAACGCTAGCAAATCATCAGTGCCCCAAGCCATGACCTCTGCCATCTTCTTTGTCGGTGGGTTTGACATTTTTAAGACTCACAAACTGAGTTTTTTCTTTAATTTCCAGGTCCTGTGAATCTCCATCCGACTTACAAACATTTCTGGGTTTTGTTGTTCTTGCTAGGGGGCATATGCCTGCCAGAGAGAAAAGGAAAAAGCATCCCACAATGCCTCCTCCATTCTCTATTCTGTTGGGATTTGGGGCACGTTTACACACGTGTTTTTCAAGCTGCCGGGGCTGGCATTCAAACTGCACAGCTGGCTGTGACATTTGGCTCCCTTAACCACTGTGCCACAGAACCGGCCCTCTTCCATTTCTGTAATTTCCTTTCTGACTTTTACAAACCAAGGTTTTACTACCTTGCACCTCAACATACTTCACCTCCCCACCTGACTGCCTTGACCATGTCACCCAGCAGGTCATCACCAGATTCGAGGTTCCGCAGAACCATGGTTCTCAAATGCTGACGGCACTCCAAGGCCTTATGAGCTCACAGTGAAGAAGCTGCTCATAGTTGCCAGGCACGGTGGTGCTCATCCTATGGCAAAAATAAATAGTCGCTGACAGTTTTTTCCTAGGAGTAACTGTTCTTGGGCCAGCAGGTAGCATGATGGCACTGGACTCCCACATGGCTAACTATGGTTTGAGTCCCAGACCTAGTGCTTTGAAACTCAAGCCAGGTATGTGTGCGCGGATGCCCAAAATCCCAAGAGGAGGGACCAGCAGGTGGCATGGTGGTGAAGGTGAAGGCGCTGGACACTCCCACATGGCTGACCATGGTTCAAGTCCTGGATCTGGCAGCTTGCTTTCTCAATCTCTCTCTCTCATCAAATTAAAATAAAATAAATGAATAAATTAAATTAATTATTAAAAAAAAAATCCCAAGAGGAAAATAAAGGGGCTATGGTGTGGCCATTCCCTGGGGAGATGATTTCTCATTTTTTGTATCTGTCTCCGTCTCTCCAGAGAGCATACCCACCCTATAGCAAAAATAACTTTTTAAAAAAAATTTATTTCATTCCATTTATTTTTCTTGGAGAGGTTTTTGCTATAGGGTGTGTGCGCTCGCCAGAAAGACAGAGAGTGAGCAAGAAATCACCCCCTGGGGGGATGACCACGCTGCAATACCTTCTTCCATTCTCCTCTTAGGATCTTGGGCACGCACACACACGCGCCTGGCATGAGTTTAAGCCACGCCTGGCATGAGTTTAAGCCACTAGGTCCAGGACTCGAACTGTGGTTGACTACATGAGAGTCCAGTGACGTAGCCATTACACCAACTGCTGGTCTCCCAAAATGGCGGTTTTTAAATGTCCTTATCTTACCACAAATAAAGTTAGTAGTTGTGTATTGCATCCTAATTTGTGTAAAACTCAATGTCTTTGAAATCCAGTGTCTGAGACGTACTGCCTTGCAGTGTGGTGTCCTCACCGAATCACTAATGGCTGAAAAATCTTAGATAGCAGCCCATATCTGCAGCAGTGAAATAACTTTCAGGAATTTAATTAAATGGTATCATTTCATTAAATCCCATAACGAGGTATTTGGCACAAAAGCAGTCTTTGTTTAATAAAAATTAGAACAGGAGATTTTCTCTGAATCTAAACTGTGTAACAAGTCCCCTGCCTCAGGGGCTGGGGTTATGCCTGCCAGGTAAAAGGCCCGGAAGAGAGGAAAATAAAAGGCAAGTCATCTCACAGAATCACCTAAGGCTGGGGTTAGTTTCCACACTTGTTTTGCTTTATGGACCCAACTTATATGCCATGAGTACCATCTAAATTGCAAGTGCTATACATGAGAACCCATATTCTAACGGGCAAAGGCTAGGCCAGCAGTTGACACAGTGGCTCAGGCACTGTATCCCACACCGTCGATTGCATGGTTTGAGTCCTTGACCTGGCAAATTGAAGAGCATGCCAGGCGTGTGTGCAAGCATGCCCCAAATCCTTCAGAGGATAGAGAAGTGACTGGGACATGACCATCCCTCCCAGCGGATGATTTCTCACTTTCTGTCTCTCTCCAGTGTCTAAAAATCCCCTAAAGCAAATTAAATAAATATATATTGATATTTATTTTTTAAGAGGATTTTGGCTTAAGGTACATGTGTTCACCCACCCAGGGGAGGAGGGGGAGAGAGAAACAGGGAGAGCTAGACAGACAGACCTAGTGAAAAAGAAAGTGAGAAATCACACCCCCCAAGGAGATAGTCTTACCACCATCCCTTCTCCATTCTCCTCCCAGAATCTTTGGCATGCATAAACATACATGTGGTGAAATTTTCCAGGCACCAGGGCTGGGACTCGAACCGTGGTCAGCCATGTGGAAGTACAGCAGCATAACCACTATGCCATCTGCTGGCTCCTGTATCAACATTTTAAATGGGTGTACCTGTGCTGGACTACACTGCTGGAAACCATCGTGACTGAGTCCTGGCCCAGTCAGCCTGAAACATGTTGGGCACATGCACAAGTGACCAAGATCTAATGGGCTGGAGGACTGTAAAAAGGGGACCACAGCAGGGAGCAGCAGGTGGTGTGGTGGTTAAGGCACTGGACACTCCCACATAGCTGACCACGATTCGAGTCCTGGACCTAGTGGCTTGCTTTCTCACTTCCCCTCTCTCTCTGTCAAATTAAAAATAAATGAATGAATAAAATTTAATAAATAATTAAAAAAAGGGGGGACCACAGCAAAACCAAACCCTACAGATGGTTCTCCCCCCATCTCACTGTCATGTACACACACATACGCACTGTCATGAATTTAAAAATTGGTGTGTTTGTTTTTTGTTATGGGGTACATGCACTTGCCAGAGAGAAAGAGAGAGAGAAAGTGAGAAGTCAGCCCCAGGGAGATGACCACGCTGCAGTCTCTTCTCCTCCAGGACCGTCTTGGGATTCTGGGCATGTGGGCACATGTGCCCAGCATGATGCTCAAGTAGCCAGGTCCAGTACTTGTGTAGCTGGTCCAAGCCACTTGCTGACCCTCTAAAAATTGTTTTAATATTTTAAATGCATAATTCATTTGAAGGATTTTTTTTCCCTAAGGAAATAATCAAATACATACAAAGGATATACAGGGTATCTTTTGTAAAAAAAAAAAAAAAAAAAGAGAAACAAACATCAAAGTGATCAACAGCAAGATCTGTTAAATTAGTTCTAGCCATTTAATAAAATGCCATTCTGGAGCCAGCAGGTGACATAGTGGTTAAGGCACTGGGCTCCTTCATGGTAGACTGCAGTTCAAGTCCCAGGCCTGGCAGCTTGAAACTCATACCAGGCACGTATGTGTGCATGCCCAAAATCTAGGAAGAGAATGGTGGAAAACGGATTACAGTGTGGCCATCACCCCTGGGGGCTGATTTCTCTTTCCCCCTCCTGTCTGTCTGTCTCCAGTGAATGTACATGACCTATGGCAAAAACCTTAAAAAAAAAAAAAAAAAAAGTCACTCAGAGGCCAGTTAGGTGGTAGGGTGGTTAAGGTGGCTGGAGCTGACATGCTCAACTATGTGATTTGAATCCTGGATTTGGTGTCTTTAAAAGACCGCAGGCACGTGTTTATGCATATCCAAGATTCCGAGAGGAAAACGGAGAAGAGACTATGGTATGGTCATCCCTCCTGAGGGATGCTTTCTCCCTTTCTCTGTCTCCTGCGTGCAAATGTAAAAAAAGCTATTTAGATATTAAGAATGTTAAAGATCAACTGTATTGACACAGAAAATATCCACACAACACTGTCCAGTGAAAAGTAAGTTTCACAACTACATAGAGAATATGATTCTGTTTTTTGGGACCAGCAGTTAGCTGAACTCCCATGTAGCTGACCGCGGTTCAAGTCCTGGACCCAGTGGCTTAAACTCATGCGGGGTGCATGTGCGTGCGTGCCCAAGATCCCAAGAGAACAGAGAAGGGATTGCAGCGTGGCCATCCCCCCTGGGGGGTGATTTCTCGCTTTCTATCTCTCTCTCTCTGTCTTGCGCATGCACCCTACAGCAAAAACATCTCCAAAAAAAAAAAAAAAAAAAAAAAAAACAACAACAATAGTAAGATTCTGTTTTTTTGGAACCAGCAGTTAGTGTAATGGCTATGTTGCTGGACTCCCACGTAGTCGACCATGGTTCGCGTCCCAGACCTGGTGGCTTAAAACTCATGCCGGGTGGGTGTGTGTGCGTGCCCAAGATCCTGAGAGGAGCATGGAGGAGAAGGGATTGCGGCGTGACCATCCCCCCCGGGAGGTGATTTCTCACTTTCTGTCTCTCTGTCTCTGTCTGGCGAGCACACGCGCCCTATAGCGAAAACCTCTCCAAAAAAAAGATTCTATCTTTTAACTAAAAAAAAGAAGGACCAGCAAGTGGTGCAGTGGTTGAGGTGCTGGACTCCTGTAGTTCAAGTCCTAGACCCAAAGGCTTGAAACTCACCAGAGTGTGTGTACGTTCAAGCCTAAAATCCCAAAATCCCGAGAGGAAAATTGAGAAGGGATTGGGGTGTGGCCATCCCCCGTGGGGTGATTTCTCACTTTTTCTCTGTCTCTCCCAGTGAGTACATGTGCTCTACAGCAAAATTCTCCCTCAAAAAAAGTCAGAATTGGGAACCAGCAGTTAGCGTAATGGCTGTGTCGCTGGACTCCCACGTAGTCGACCGTGGTTCGCGTCCCGGACCCGGTGGCTTAAAACCCACGCTGGGCGTGTGTGCGTGCGTGCCCAAGACCCCGAGAGGAGAATGGAGAAGGGATTGCGGCGTGACCATCCCCTCTGGGGGGTGAATTCTCGCTTTCTGTCTCTCTGTCTCTCTCTGTCTGTCTGGCAAGCACCCGCACCCTATAATGAAAAACCTCTCAAAAAAAAAAAAAATAAAAAAAAGAATTGAATTTCAGTTTTGGCTATGTCTCTTACTAGATTTATAGACTTGAACAAGTTTATCTAAGCTTCAGTTTCCTCATGTGTAGAACACCATCAATAATATATGTCACATAGGGATGTGTAAGAATTAAATGTATAGGAGCCGGCAGGTGGTGTGGTGGTTAAGGGCACTGGATATCCACATGGCTGACCGTGGTTTGAGTCCTGGACCTGACAGCTTGCTTTCTCACTCCCCCCACCCTCTGTTCAAATTAAATAAGTTAAATGAAAAATTTATTAAAAAAGAATTAAATGTATAGAAAGTATTCAGGGGCCAGCAGGTAGCATGATGGTTAAGGCGTTAGACTCCCACATGGCCAACTGTGAGTCAAATCTCAAACCTGACAGCTTGCTTCTCACTCTCTCTGATGAGTATGCATGTTCTGTAGAAAATTGAAAAATGGTAATAATTATGATAAATAAAATAATTCTTTTAAAATGCATTCAGAATGGTATTTAGTCAATAGGAGATCCTCAAATATTAACTATTTTTCCTTCTTTAAGCACCTACTACTACGTTGTCAGGAAATTCATGACATATTTTCCTGTTTTTCTATGCAAAAGTATGTCGTGACTTTCCCGACGACCCAATATATGCCTAGCCTATGTTAGGCGTCAGGTATACATGAGCTTACACATAAACAGAAAACATTTGAGAAGTACCCACTGGAAAGAAAACAGATTATGATAGAAGGGTCTATGTGACTAGAAAGACCAGAAAATCTCTTCAGGGATACAACATTTAATTCCAGTACAGAAAGATGATTAGGAGCCAATGATACCAGAAGGGGATATAAAAGCAGTATGGACTGAAGGGACAGCATTACTCTGGTTCAATCTTTGCATTTCCTTTAACGAGAGATTATGCCGTATACTATTCTGCAACAACTTTCTGTATCAGCCTATCTCATTCTCATGTGACAACTATATAAAACGGAAGTACCATAGTTTTATTAACCAATTACCTTTTAATGGTTTGATGATGCATGGATATTTACATTAATGGATACTTATTTCCAATTTTTTGCTATTACAAATACAGTTACAATTCTGTACATATATCTTGACTTGTATAACTGATTCTTAAATTTTTAGATATTGGGTAAAATAAGTATAAAATTTAATCATGAAAAGAAAACAAAGCTGTTAGTTTTGGAAAACATTTATTGATATTTCCATCCTCTCTTTAGTACTTTTTTGTTCTGGTTATTTTCTTTCTTTTTTTTTTTTTTTTGGAGAGGTTTTTGCTATAGGGTGCGTGCACTCACCAGAAAGACAAAGAGAAATCACCACCCCGGGGGCGATGGGATCTTGGGCATGCATGCACACGCATCTGGTGTGAGTTTAAGCCACAGGGTTGGGGACTTGAACTGAGGTCGACTACATGGGAGTCCAGCAACATAGCCATTATGTCAACTGCTGGTCCCTGTTCTAATAATTTTCTAGTACTTTTTTTTTTTTTTTAAGAATTATGTTATTTAACTTTGTTTTTTTATTATTATTTAGTTTAACCAGAGAAAGAGAAAAAAAAAGGGAAAGTAAGCCCGCAGGCCTGGGACTCGAACTACAGTCAGCCAAGTGGGAGTCCAGCATCCTTAACGACCATGCCACCTGCCAGCCCCTCTAGCACTTATTCTCTAAACTACATATTGCTCTGTATTGTTTTGCAATATACACAATACAACTAACTCCCTAGCAAACGTGAGAGTAAGGTACAATTTGTTCATTTCTTCTGTATCTCTTCCACTTTGCCCAGCCCTCAAGTACTAGTCAAAGAGGTCCAGAACCCTGGGCACACCCACACCCCTTACAGACCTGGAACAGGTACCTATACCTACCTCAGGTCATTCTTGAGTTCCACCACCACATCCTTGCCCACAAGGGACTTGAAGAAGGAGTAGAAAAGCTATGGGCGAGATGGGGAAAACCATCAACATGGGAAGGGACACAGTAGGGAGGGTCCCCTAGCAGTATTATCGAATGTGGGTATTGGGATCCCCACCGCATCTCTGGCGGTCCTCAAATGTGTGCAGCAGAGAATGGGTGACAGAGATCAAAGGCCGAAGCCCAGACGATTCTGGGCACTCCATGAGCCTCTCCAAGTCCAGAGGTTCTGCCGGCCACCCCTCGCCCGCGCTCTCCACTGACGGCGCCTCTGGGGTCGCGGCCACTCTCGCTAGCGACGTGCAGACAGAATCCCCCACCCTCTTGTCTCTGGCAGAGAAAAGCTCCCTGAGGTCTAGCTTTTCCGTCTCCTGCTGTCCCCGCCGACTCTCGGAGCTGTGTGTGTGCGTTTTTGTTTTTCAGGGTTTTTTCCCATAAAATAAACAAAATCCGATTTGCTCCCAGGGATCTCCTCAAAGAATAAGGCACAGGAACCGAGGGCAGACAAAAATCCCCGGGCCCAAGCCCAGCCTAGAAGGACAAAGCCCAAAGTAGCGCCTCAACGGTCCGAACCGCCCGCGCTCCCCGGGGCGCCCTCTTGTGACGTCACGGTACCTACCATGGTGCTGTCGCTGGAGTCGGCAGGCGGGACCGGGAAGGAGACGGCCGGCTGCCGCGGGGCGGGGGCCGAGGGGGGACCCGCGCGTGGGGCGGGACAGGGTCGCGCAGGCGCAGCGGGAAAGGCGGCGAAAAGCTCGGAGTACGGAAAGGCAGCGCGCGCCGACCTCGTGGGCCGGTGGAAGCGGGCGGGGCAGAGCCGAGGGGCGGTGCCGCCGGTGGAGGGGCGGAGCTTCCTGCCTCCCGACTTCCTCCCGGGCGTCCGGCTGCACTGCGCAAGCGCCGACCTTTACGCAGCTGCAGGTTTCCGCTGTGTTCCAGAACATAGCGGTCCAGAGTGATTTTAGCACAGCCTGTACACACTTCCACTTGAGAATTGTTGGAGAGTGCGTGAAAATGCATTACAATTTTTCACTTTTTTGTATATGTTACACTTATTTTTGAGGTTTTGACCGTAGGGCACGTGCGCTAGCTAGAGACAGAGACAGAAGGCGCTAGCTAGAGACAGACAGAGACAGAAGTGAGAAATCACCCCCCAGGAGGGATTGCCACACCTGATCCTCCGTTCTCCTGTTTGAGCACGCACACACACGTAGTTGGCATGATTTTTCAAACCACCAGGTCTGATACTTAAACCGTGGTCAGCCCTTGTTGTAGTCCAGCGCCTCAATCATTACGCTCTTCTGATCCCTATATGTTACGCTTTTGATAAGTAAAAAACATTTTAAGAAAGTTGAGTGTCAGGGCTAGGTGGTGATGTGATTAGTTGGGATGGCTGGATCCCACAAGGCGGACTGGAGTTCGAATTCCGGACCCTGAGACTTGAGGGCCATGCTGGGTGAGTATGTACATGTGCCTCAGAGATCCCAGAGGAGATGCGGCCAGCAGGTGGAGTGGTGGTTGGTCACTGGACTCCCACATAGCCAACTGCAGTTTGAGTTCTGAACCTGGCATTTGAAAATGACGCCGGGCGCACATGGGTGTGTGATTTCCAGCAGAATGGAGGAAAAGGGATTGCAACACAGCCATCTCTGGGGGTGGGGGGGTGTGATTTCTCACTTTCCATCTCACTATCTCTGGGAACATATAACCCTATAGCAAATTTAAAAAAAAAAAAAGTTGAGTCCCCAACAACAACAAAAAATTGAGACCCTGAGATCAAGGCCTGAATACAGATCCTGATATCAAAGGTTGCTAATAAATATGAATACATTTCTCCCGAAGATCCAAACTCAGTAGCCACATTTCTTACATATTTTTGTCTAGAACAGAGTAAAGCTAAACAGTGGTAGGCCAGCCAGTAGTGGGGTGGTTAAGGTGGCTGGATCCTACAGGGCTGACTATGCAGTCTGAACCCTGGGCCTGGCAGCTTGAGAAACACACTGGCTGCATGTGTGTATGTACCCAAAATATTGAGAGAAGCATGGAGGAGAAGGGGTTGCAGCATGGTCATCCCTTCTGGGGACTTCTTTCTCACCTTCCTTCCCTATCTCTGACTCCCCATCTCTCTCTAGTAAGTGTACATGGCCCTATAGCAAATGGAAAAAAAAATCAAATGAAAAAAATACTTGCCACACGTGACATACGTTGCTATACCCCTAGTAGACAGAGTTCTTGTGTATGAATGAGAGAGTAGATGAAGGCACAATAGGCAATTAGGTTCTCTCTTGCTCTCTGTCCCTCTCTGGTCAAACTGAAATAAATAAAGTTCAATAAAATAATTATTAAAAAAAAAGAAAGAACCCATTCTGATACTTCATTTCCAAATGTCGCCCCCTCAAACATGAAGTGACACACATGCACACTGTCATACCCTTCTATACTCAAGTCCCCCAGATTTTTATAAATATGGAATACTATGACACAAGAGGTGACGTTTCCATGGAATACGACTAAGTCCACCATTTCTCATCTTCCACAAAAGGACTCCCTTGTCATCGTTAGAGGAATATTTTGTGTGGCAAGGATGACAGACTCATGGCACAGATGCTGGATCTCCTGGGCCCACCTATAAATTACACAGGAACATCAAGCTGGACTTGCTCACCCAAATAGAGCGTAGGCAGTATAATGTCAGGGGCTAAAGGTGGTTAGTGGGGTGGTTAAGGTGGCTGGATTCCACCTGGCTGACTACCACTGCAGTCCAGACCCTCTGGCTGAAAAACACACTCCAGGTACATGTACGTATTTTTCACCTGAGGGTGAAAAATTATGTTCCTTTTTGAAACAATGAGCTCATGCCAATTCAAATCATTTGCCCTTACCAGTGTAACCATTCCCAATGAGCTCACAATCCGAAAACACACGCTCGTGCCCTGAACGCTCTCCTTTCCCTTATGTTTCAAGGTACACTCGCCGTCTAAAGATACCAGAAGTCATTTCCTTTAGGGACAGGTTTACTGAGGGACAAATAACCATCCATGCAGGAAGAAGAAAGTTAGAGTGGCTGGAAATAAATAACAGACATTCTAGTTCATCCAATGGTTCAAAGAAGGGCCTAGTTTTCCTGAGTCCATTCCAGAGTCACGAAGCGGACACTGGACTTCATGAAAATCTCAAAGTGACAGTAAACTGAGGTTTGGGTGCAGTCAACTCAAGAATTGTAACAATGTTCGAAGATGGGGGGAATAAAATTCACCTAGAGGCACCCTAGAACCCTCCAGTTCCCAAGCAGGTTAATCTACTTCTTCAATGGTGGGGCCTGTGGCAGGCCTCCCAGGTGTATACCCTGTTGCACAGGCCGGCCCAGTGCATCCTCCCTGGTAGAGTTTCGTGATGATGGGGTTACACATCTGCTCCAATTCCTTTCTCTTATGCTCAAACTCTTCTTTTTCAGCCAGTTGATTGGCCTCGAGCCATGAAAGGACCTCGTTGCATTTATCCAGTATTTTCTTCTTATCAGACTCGCTGATCTTGCCCTTTAAACCATCATCACTCACAGCACTCTTCATATTAAAAGCATAGGATTCTAAGGCATTTTTGGCAGCAATTTTCTCCCTCTGCACCTCGTCCTCGGCTTTGTACTTCTCGGCCTCCTGCACCATGCGCTCGATCTCCTCCTTGCTCAGGCGGCCCTTGTCGTTGGTGATGGTGATCTTGTTGGCCTTGCCGGTGCTCTTGTCCGTGGCCGTGACGTTCAGGATGCCGTTGGCGTCGATGTCAAAGGTCACCTCAATCTGAGGAACTCCTCTGGGTGCGGGAGGGATTCCAGTCAGGTCGAAGCGCCCCAGCAGGTTGTTGTCCTTCGTCATGGCCCTCTCGCCCTCGTACACCTGGATCAGCACCCCGGGCTGGTTGTCTGAGTACGTGGTGAAGATCTGCGTCTGCTTGGTGGGGATGGTGGAGTTGCGCTTGATCAGGACAGTCATCACACCGCCCGCCGTCTCCAGCCCCAGCGACAGGGGCGCCACGTCCAGCAGCAGCAGGTCCTGCACCTTTTCAGATTTGTCCCCCATCAGGATGGCGGCCTGCACCGCCGCCCCGTAGGCCACCGCCTCGTCAGGGTTGATGCTCTTATTGAGATCACGTCCATTAAAGTAATCTTGAAGCAGCCTCTGCACCTTAGGGATGCGGGTGGAGCCCCCTACTAAAACAATGTCATGGATTTTAGCCTTGTCCATCTTGGCATCCCGAAGAGCTTTTTCCACAGGTTCCAAGGTGCCCCTAAACAAGTCTGCACACAACTCTTCAAACCGGGCTCTGGTGATGGACGTGTAGAAGTCGATGCCCTCGAACAGCGAGTCGATCTCCAGGCTGGCCTGCGTGCTGGACGACAGGGTCCTCTTGGCGCGCTCGCAGGCCGTGCGCAGCCGCCTCACGGCGCGCTTGTTCTGGCTGATGTCCTTCTTGTGCTTCCTCTTGAACTCCTCCACGAAGTGGTTCACCAGCCTGTTGTCGAAGTCCTCCCCGCCCAGGTGCGTGTCCCCGGCCGTGGCCTTCACCTCAAAAATCCCATCGTCTATGGTCAAGATGGACACGTCAAAAGTGCCTCCGCCCAGATCAAAGATCAGGACATGTCGCTCTCCATGACCTCCTTTATCTAAGCCATAGGCAATGGCAGCAGCTGTAGGTTCATTGATGATTCTTAGGACATTGAGCCCCGCGATCACGCCCGCGTCCTTGGTGGCCTGGCGCTGAGAGTCATTGAAATAAGCTGGCACAGTGATCACCGCGTTGGTAACAGCGTGACCCAAAAAAGCCTCGGCAGTCTCCTTCATCTTGGTCAGCACCATTGAAGAGATCTCCTCGGGGTAGAACGCTTTCTTCTCCCCTTTGTAGGACACGAGCACCTTGGGCTTGCCTCCCTCATTAATCACTTGGAAAGGCCAAAGTTTCATGTCTGATTGCACAACGGGATCGTTAAATTTCCTGCCAATCAGACGTTTGGCATCAAAGACAGTGTTCTGGGGATTCATGGCCACCTGGTTCTTGGCCGCATCCCCGATCAGACGCTCGGTGTCCGTGAAGGCCACGTAGCTGGGGGTGGTGCGGTTGCCCTGGTCGTTGGCGATGATCTCCACCTTGCCGTGCGTGAACACCCCCACGCACGAGTACGTGGTGCCCAGGTCGATGCCGATGGCCGTTCCCTTAGGAGCAGCCATGGTTCTCCGAGGCCTGTGAAAAAAGAATGAGATGATGTTCCGGCAGAGCACTTTATAAATTCAATTAATTAAATTAATTTTATGGTTGATTTTTTCAAGAGCAAGAGAGAAGCACCTCACCCAGAGTATTGGCACCAGGACCCACCCAGAATGATGTGCTAGGTCTCCTTGCACAGGTGGCCCCAGATCATGGGCACATGCCTGTCTGCATAACATAGAAGTGTCCTGGCACTGGGACCAGCAGTTAGCGTAATGGCTATGTCGCTGGACTCCCATGTAGTCAACGGTTTTAGTCCCGGACCCGGTGGCTTAAACTCACGCCAGGCATGTGTGCGTGCGTGCCCAAAATCCCAAGAGGAGAATTGAGGAGAAGGGATTGTGGTGTGGCCATCCTCCCTGGGGAGGTGATTTCTCACTTTCTGTCTCTCTGTCTCTCTCTGTCTTTCTGGTGAGCACACGTGGCAAAAAAAAAACTCAAAAAAAAAAAAAAAAAAAAAAAAGAAGCGTCCTGACACAAACCTGGAACATTCCCACATGCTCAGACCCCTGTGCCATGCTCAGACCCCTGTCTATCTATCTTTCATTTATTTATTTATTAGAGAGATTTTTGCTATAGGGTGTGTGCGCTCACTGGAGAGACAGAGAGAGAGAGGTCACCCCCTAAGGGGATGGCCTTCTCCTCCATACTCCTCTCAGGAAGTGGGGCACACACACACGCATGCCCAGTGTGAATTTTAAGCCACCAGATCCAGGAGTTGAACTGTGGTCTGCCATGTGGGAGTCCAGCAATGTAATCATTATGCCATCTTCTGGTCCCAGCTATGTATTCATTTTTAATAGTGTGTGCATCCATGCCCAAAATTGGAGAGGAGAAATGGAGGAGAAGGGATTGTGTGGTGGCCATTTTCCATGTGAGATGCAAATACACAGAAAATGTACCTTTTTTTAAAAAACTGTTGTTTTGTTTTTGGTATAGGGTGCGTGTGTGTGTGCTCACCAGACAGAGACACGGTGGTGGAGGGAGTGAGAAATCATGCCCTAGGGGAGATGGGTATAGCATAATCCCTTCTCTTCCATCGTCCTCTTGGGCATGCACACACATGCACCTGGCACGTTTTCCCAGCTGCTGGATCCCGGACTCAGCCGTGCAGTCGTCCATGTGGGTTCCAGTCCCCTTAACCCCTTCATCACTTTGCTGCCCCCCCCTTTTTGCCATAGGGCATGCGTACTTCATGGAGAGACAGACATGGTGACAGGGAAAGTGAGAAATGGCCCCCTAGAGGGTGACCATGCTGCAATCCCTTCTCCATTCTTCTCCTGGGATTCTGGGCACATGCGCACGGGCTGAGTTTCAAGCCACTGAATCTGGGACTTGAAGTGCAGTCAGCCACATGGGGGTCTAGTACCTTTAACCACTATGCCACATGCTGGTCCTGTTCCTTCTCCCTTTTTTAATTTGCTAGAGAAAAAGCACACTTGCCGAAGACAGAGAGAGAGAGAGAAGGAAAGCGAGTAAGCACCTCGCATGGAAAATGGGCACCACGCAATCCCTTCTCCTCCATTTCTCCTCTCCAATGTCGGCACGCAGGCGCACACAGCCTGTGTGTTTCCCAAGGTGCCAGGTCTGGGATTTGAACCTCATAGTGGGCCACGTGGGATCTACCTACCCTAAGCACTATGCCTTGGCTGGTCCCCATTTAGGCCATTTGAAAGTGTAGAGTTCAATAATAAGTTCAATGACAGAGGTGTCCAGTCTCTAGAACATCATAGACCTCACGGGACTGAAACTACACCCATGAAACCAGTCTCTGCTTGCCCCGTCCCCTGGTCCCTGGCAACCACCATTCTTTCTGGCTTTATTATTTATACTACTCTTGGTACCTCGTAGAAGTGAAATTGCCCAGGATTTGTCCTCCTGCCTCTTGGCTTGTTTCACTTGGCTTACTGTGCTCAAGTTTCATGCATCTTATAGCCATGCGTCTGAATTCCCTCCCTTTCTAAAGCTCAATACTAGTCATCATATGTATTACCATGTGCTGCTTATTCACCCCTAGATGGACACTTGGGCTGTTTCCACCTTTTGGCTATTGTCAATAATGCTGCTATGAACGCAAAGGTACAAATATATGAAGACCCTGTTTTCGGATGTGAGAGATTTTTATAAAATTAGTTTATTGGGACCAGCATTTAGCGTAATGGCTATGTCGCTGGACTCCCGTGTAGTCAACTGCAGTTCGAGTCCCAGACCCGGTGGCTTAAACTCACGCCGGGTGCGTGTGCATGCGTGCCCAAAATCCCGAGAGGAGAATGGAGGAGAAGGGATTGTGGCATGGTCATCCTCCCTGGGGGGTGATTTCTCTCTTTCTATCTCCCTGTCTCTCTGTCTTTCTGGGGAGTGCACGTGCCCTATAGCAAAAAACCTTTAAAAAATTAGTTTATTTAACTTTATTTATTTACTTACTTATTTTCATTTGGCCAGAGAGGGACAGAGCAACAGTGAGAGAGGAAGGAAAAGTGAAAAAGCAGGCTGCCAGGTCCAGGACTGAAACCGTGGTCAGCCACATGGAAGTCCAGTGCCCTTAACCACCATGCCACCTGCGGGCCCTTATTTGAGAACTTTTTAGACAGCATAGACAAAAATACTCTCAGCTACTCAAAAGGATCTGGGAAGGAAGTGAGTGTATATTGTTTCCAGTCTGTCTGAGCGTTAGAGGAAACTGTTCTATTCACATAACTATGATATAATTAATGGTGGGATCTTCCCTGCCTATTAACCTAAGTGGGGTTTTGTTTGTTTGTTTGTTTTAATGTCTGGTCTCAAGAGACATTAATCTCCACAATAGGGATTTTTAGAAAATTATTTTATTTAACTTTATTTAGGTTAATTTGACTAGAGAGAGAGAGAGGGGGAAAGTGAGAAAGCATGCCTCCAGGTCCAGGACTCCAACTGCGGCCAGCCATATGGGAGTCCAGCGCCATTAACCACCACACCACCTGCCGGCCCCAGGCTTTTTTGTTTGTTTTTTAAGTGAAGTTTTTGTTATAGGGTGTGTGCACCCAAGAGACAGAAAGAGAGAAATTGCCTCCCAGGAGGAATGGCCACACTGCAATTCCTTCTCCTCTTGGGCTTTTGGGAGGGCATACACACCCATCTGGTGCGTTTCAAGCCGCCAGGTCTGGGACACGAACCGAGGTCCACACAGGAGTCCAGCGCCTTAACCACGACTTCGCTGGCCTCCACAATATGGTTCTGCTGCCTTTCTCGGCTAGACTATAAAGGATGCGAGGGGAGTGAGACCTGGCAGGATCTGATGGCCGCAGCTGGGTACCCATTACCAAGCCCCCTGCCTCAGCTTTTCTCAGGAGTGGGGCACTCCAGGCAATCTCTACCCGTCCCCTAATACAGCCACCACCCCACACCCACCCTCGGCCCCAGCCCAACTCCACCCGACCCCGCCCGCCCGGCTTTTTCAGTAGCTCTGACCAACGTAGCTTCTCGGCTTTCCTCAAGGACTCCTCCTACCCAGGCTCCAGAAAGCCAGGGGCTGGACGCCAGCCGCTGCCCTGGGACAGTCCCTCCTACGGAGGTCGGTCAACGCCACCCCACCTCGGCCTTCAAGCTACTCGGAAAATTTCCAGTGCCGTCTCAACAGGGACCCAGGTCCTCGGCTTTGCCAATCCCCGCCCCATTCCAGTTAGAGCTCTGCAAGCTCACCTAGCGTCACGCCGCCTTCGCTCCAGTTTGGAAACTTTCCGGTTACGGAGCCCCAGAAAGAAGGGGTTCCTTCAACAGGCGAACCGAGCAGCCAGCGTCCCCCCACCCCCCACCCGCCCCAAGTCTGAGTCTGCTCGGGCCACCCTGAATCCAAACCTGCCCGTGCGGGCAGAGGCTGGACCACCATTGTAACGCGGCTGGAGCGGGCGGCGTCAGCAGAGGCTGGCCGAGCCCCCCGCCCGTGGGGGTGTCACGTGGACACACAGCCCCCCAAAACTTGGCGCACACACATTCACCTACACTGCCTACACACAGCAAAGCCTTAGGTGCTGTCTGACATTCACAACGAAACTCTGACCCTTCCAGTAAGTCAGTCGGTCCCAGGATGCCCGCCTCCTTCCAAAAACACTCCCGGCTTTTCCGCACTTTCGGCTTCCTGGGCTGCCCGCAGTCCTGTCGCCTTTACTCCTAGAGTTACACGCCGCCCACCCTCCAAAAAAGCAAGAAATGAAAAGTGAACGACGGAAAGTTTGAGCCCCAAGAGCCTGGCACCGCCTAACAACGACGGGCCGAATGTTGACTCTTTCTATCAATTTCACACTAAAGTGCCAGCGGCCAGCACCGCCAGGGACACACAGTCCAGGGCAACCGCCCCGCCCCTTGGGCTCCTAGAGTTTGTCTCCGGGTCGCTACCCCCTCCTCCGCCCCAATCCCAGAAGCGTCTAGAGAGTTCTGGGCGGGGCGGCACCCCGGCTTCTGATTGGTTCAGAGAGCCTACGGGGCCGAGCGCCAGGAGGAATATTCCCGACCTAGCCGCCTCGCCGGGCTCAGTGATTGGCTGGGGGCGGCCAGGGCGGGGCTCCGGGGAGGCCCAGCAAAGCAGAGCTGCCCGCCCGCAGCAACTCCGAGCTGGAAAGGGCTGACCACTGCTGCTTCTTCTACCGCGAGCCGCACTCCCGCTGCCCCGCCGCCTCCCAGAGCGAACTCCTGCGGAGCCGACGCGCTCGCTGTTCCCGGCTGCCAGGAAGGACCGAGGTCCCGCCCACCGTTCCCAGGCCCGAGCGTCAGCGGAGGAGGGAGAGCGAGGCAGCGGCATGGCCAAGACCACGGCGATCGGCATCGACCTGGGCACCACGTACTCGTGCGTGGGGGTGTTCCAGCACGGCAAGGTGGAGATCATCGCCAACGACCAGGGCAACCGCACCACCCCCAGCTACGTGGCCTTCACGGACACCGAGCGACTGATCGGGGATGCGGCCAAGAACCAGGTGGCGCTGAACCCGCAGAACACGGTGTTCGACGCCAAGCGGCTGATCGGCCGCAAGTTCGGCGACCCGGTGGTGCAGTCGGACATGAAGCACTGGCCCTTCCAGGTGATCAACGACGGCGGCAAGCCCAAGGTGCGGGTGAGCTACAAGGGGGAGGACAAGGCGTTCTACCCCGAGGAGATCTCGTCCATGGTGCTGACCAAGATGAAGGAGATCGCCGAGGCGTACCTGGGCTACCCGGTGAGCAACGCGGTGATCACGGTGCCCGCCTACTTCAACGACTCGCAGCGCCCGGCCACCAAGGACGGAGGGCTCTCGGGGCTCAGCGTGCTGCGGATCATCAACGAGCCCACGGCGGCCGCCATCGCCTACGGGCTGGACCGCACGGGCAAGGGGGAGCGCAACGTGCTCATCTTTGACCTGGGCGGGGGCACGTTCGACGTGTCCATCCTGACGATCGACGACGGCATCTTCGAGGTGAAGGCCACGGCCGGGGACACGCACCTGGGCGGGGAGGACTTCGACAACAGGCTGGTGAACCACTTCGTGGAGGAGTTCAAGAGGAAGCACAAGAAGGACATCAGCCAGAACAAGCGCGCCGTGAGGCGGCTGCGCACGGCCTGCGAGCGCGCCAAGAGGACCCTGTCGTCCAGCACGCAGGCCAGCCTGGAGATCGACTCGCTGTTCGAGGGCATCGACTTCTACACGTCCATCACCAGGGCGCGCTTCGAGGAGCTGTGCTCGGACCTGTTCCGTGGCACGCTGGAGCCCGTGGAGAAGGCGCTGCGCGACGCCAAGCTGGACAAGGCCCAGATCCACGACCTGGTGCTGGTGGGGGGCTCCACCCGCATCCCGAAGGTGCAGAAGCTGCTGCAGGACTTCTTCAACGGGCGCGACCTGAACAAGAGCATCAACCCCGACGAGGCGGTGGCCTACGGGGCGGCGGTGCAGGCCGCCATCCTGATGGGGGACAAGTCTGAGAACGTGCAGGACCTGCTGCTGCTGGACGTGGCGCCCCTGTCGCTGGGGCTGGAGACGGCGGGCGGCGTGATGACGGCGCTGATCAAGCGCAACTCCACCATCCCCACCAAGCAGACGCAGATCTTCACCACGTACTCAGACAACCAGCCCGGGGTGCTGATCCAGGTGTACGAGGGCGAGAGGGCCATGACGAAGGACAACAACCTGCTGGGGCGCTTCGAGCTGAGCGGCATCCCGCCGGCCCCCCGCGGCGTGCCCCAGATCGAGGTGACCTTCGACATCGACGCCAACGGCATCCTGAACGTCACGGCCACGGACAAGAGCACCGGCAAGGCCAACAAGATCACCATCACCAACGACAAGGGCCGCCTGAGCAAGGAGGAGATCGAGCGCATGGTGCAGGAGGCCGAGAAGTACAAAGCCGAGGACGAGGTGCAGCGCGACCGGGTGTCGGCCAAGAACGCGCTGGAGACGTACGCCTTCAACATGAAGAGCGCCGTGGAAGACGAGGGCCTCAAGGGCAAGATCAGCGAGGCGGACAAGAAGAAGGTGCTGGACAAGTGCCAGGAGGTCATCTCCTGGCTGGACGCCAACACCCTGGCCGACAAGGACGAGTTTGAGCACAAGAGGAAGGAGCTGGAGCAGGTGTGTAACCCCATCATCAGCGGACTGTACCAGGGTGCGGGGCTTCGGGGGTCAGGCCCCTAAGGGAGGCTCTGGGTCCGGCCCCACCATTGAGGAGGTGGACTAGGGTCTTCTGTTCTAAGGTGTATTGTTTGGGAGATGGGTAGAGTTTAAGTCATTTCCTGTGGGCGCTCTCAACGTGTGTTGTTTGCGAGGTCGTGCTGAGTATATTGTTTGGTGAAGTGCTAAATGGTTTTTTTTCTTTCCAGTTTGTAAATGTAGAGACAAGTTTATACTGCCGTGTCTTGTCTGTTTTTCTATTTGTAATACTCGTACTTAACTCACTCCTTTTTTTTTATCGGTTACTTTAAATAAACTTCAAAATAATTCTAAGGATGTCTTGTCTGCCTCTTAGTTTCAAGATAAGAAGGACCTGCATAGTTGTTTTTTTGTTTTGTTTTGTTTTGTTTTTGTTTGTTTGTTTGTTTGTTTTTACCGTATCAAAAATCGAATGGTATTTTGTCTTGGGGCAGGGATCTGGGGAAATAAAGCTATATTCCCCTGTGACCCATTCAGTTAAGAAAATGATATCCATAGGTGAGTTCAAAAACCAAAAAACCCTGCTTATTCTGAGTGGGTTGCAGCGAGGGTCTAGAAGAAAAGCTAAAGACACCTGGCAGGGGGTCCTAAGGTGGGTAAGGGGATGCATCTGGGTTAGTATGGCTTAAAATGATGCAGGGGTGGGGTGGGGTGGTGGTCTGCAAAAGTGGGCCAAGGAGCGGCAGGTGGGAGGGCCATGCTGCCAATTTCTGTAGGTAGCCAGGTCAGAGCCTGTTACTTAATCCGGTCTGAGTAAATTGGCAGTCAGGAGATGAGGTTCCAGGAAGGTAGGAGTACGGGCTTGCCAAGGTATGTGCACGTGCCTTCACAACTCTGAGCCCTAGTTCTCACCTTTTGAAATGGGGGGAGGGTTTAGCCTGATACCTTAGTCCTAGCATTCCTCACCTGCATTTTTAAAAAGGATTATTTTATTTAACTTTATTTTATTTTGATTTCTTTTCATTTGACCAGAGAGGGACAGAGTAAAAGTGCCAGTGACGGAGAAAAGAGGGAAAGTGAGAAAGCAAGCCGCCAGGTCCGGGACTCAAACCGCAGCTGGCCATGTGGGAGTCCAGTGCCCTTAACCACCACACCACCTACCGACCCCACTTGCATTTTAAGTGCCCCAGTGAGCACCTTAGAGAGGTGTCACCTGAGGGTATGGTGCGTCAGTAGCTGAAAAGACCACAGTTTGGTGTAGAAATGCCCCAGAGGAAATGGAGATCCTGTCGTGGGGCCTTCTGTGTGTTACAACGTTAATCCTCACTCTGCCATATTTATTGCAGACTTTCTCATGTGTATATATGAAGTTACTTAAAAAAGGTTCAGCAAAAATGTTGAATGTGAATATCAACTGAGGACTTCTTAGAGGTTTTTGCTGTACTCTCCCAAGTCTACAAGGTTTTGTTTATGCATACCGGGTCCGAGGTTATGTTCCTACCCTACTTTTTAATTAGCTACCTTCTTTTAGCCTGTGCTCGCTAGATATCTAAGCAGTTATACCAGATAGATAAAAGAGCTGATGGCTGAAGTTCAGTATTTGGTAACTTAGAAGAGGGAAACACCTGCAGCCCAGAAAGACCTAGTTACAGGCTTCCCTCCCAGGACTGCTTTCCCTTTGAGGTACTGCAGCTCTAGTGTCCAGCATCCTCAAAGTAATCCCCTCCACAGCCGCCTGCTACCTGCCACAGCCCGCAAGGTTTGAGGAGTAACCCTC